CGGAGCTGCCTGCGACGCGCTGATGAGATCCAAAAAGATCGAAATCGCGATCCGCGTCTGGCAGTTTCGACAGAATACAGACCACTTCGAATTATTTAATTTAATTTGAGGTTGTTTGTAGTGGGAGAAAATTAAAAATTAATTACACATTAGTATTGAATTATTTTGAGTTTTTTGAGAATGGACGAGTTACAGAAGTATATACAATGAAACTTTAATTATTTATTAGTCCTATGGGCTATATTTATCTTGGTACCTTTATCTTAAACTTGAAATGGTGCCGTAGTTTGGAGAAGTTTGACGCAACCTCATGCAAGGTGTTGAAACTCATATTGAACAGGTCTAGGCTGACAATTTCTTTGGTAAAATTAGAACTCCGAACTGAATCATTTGTTTTATTATCATAGGATATGACTTGTACACATGACAGTTTCTTTTCGTCATTGTCTAAAAAGCAACCTTTCTGATGCTGTGCTTGTGAAGACGAAACTGAGAAGGTTATCGTCGCAAAATTCCTACAATTATGGAAATAGAAGCTAATTATAAATAAGTATACCGTCGAACTCGATTATCACAAATATTAAGGAACTATGAATTAGATATTGCCTTCAAGGGGGACATCTTTTGATTGTAAATACGTGACTGATAAGAACCTCGGCCACGTCTACGTAAGAAATTTGAATTTGATGTCTGGATTTGTCGTCAACAAACACAAGGGAAAAATACAATGATAGGAGACGAAAAGTTAGAAGAAGTGGTTAATTTAAGGTATCTAGGAAGTCAGATAAGTCAGGACGGAAGGAGTAGTAGAGATATAAAGCAGAGGATAGCGCAGGGTCGAGTCGCCTTCAATAAAAAGAAATCGCTTCTATATTCGCCAACGGTTAATTTAGAAATTCGAAAAAGATTGTTAAAGGTGTATGTTTGGAACGCGGCGCTGTACGGGTGCGAAACATGGACAGTGGGCGCGGCGGAAAAGAAAAAGATAGAAGCTTTCCAAATGTTGTGTTACAGGCGAATGATGAGGATACCGTGGATAGAGAAGGTTAGAAATGAAGAGGTATTAGAAAGAANAAGTCAAATGCTAAAAATATTATGCCTTTTATTGAAAACAACTTTTTTATTTAACTGTTGGTTTGATAGAAACACAAAAACAGCGTTTTATTGTAAAAAAAAACAATTGAATTTTTTTAAAATTAATAAATCAGCATCAGGACTAATTCGGCTTTAACTGACCGACTTCGAAAACATTTCCAGATTGGGCATACAAAGCCCTTAACGTTTCTTGGGCTAAATGTGTTTCACAGTGTGGTGGTACGGAAATCCTAAGAAAAAACATTGCTTTATTGTACAAATAATTAATAAATGCACATAAATTTGTCGAAATAATCGATCAAGCATTGCTACTCGATACTATTCGTGTTTCAATGCGCCTAGAACAGAAGTCCGAGCAACTTGAGCGCTTTTTGAACTTGCAGCAAACATAGATCATTACGATTGTTGAATAATTCAATGGTTACGTATAGTATTGAAAATCTATGAAGGAAAATATGACGCAAATGTTCGTAATAAAATCAATGGTGTATTACATTAGAAAGTAGAAGAAGTTTCCCTAAAAAAGTGTAAATATGTGGTTGTTTGAAGAAACAACAGAAATGGAGTTTGTCTATTAGTTGATTATTGCGAAATAGTCGAACAATCAGGATTAGCTTTACGAATAATGTTCATGTTTCAATTGTAACACAGCAACAATACGTCTACTTCTTGAATAGAAGTGTGAGCAGCTTGTGAGCCTATTTGAACTTGCAGCAAGTAAAGTGTATTTAAAAAACTCAATGGTTATTAAAAACTACAAAGGAAAATACGACGTAAATTTTTCTAACGAAATAAGTTAAAAGTAAAAGGAGTTTTCCGAATTTTTTTATCATAAGGTCGTTAGTCCTAAGACACTCTTTCCTATCCTGAGCTAATCTTCGCATTCCCCTAAAACTAGAACAACCCACATCCTTAACTATTTGCCAACAGTAATCTAATCCAGGTCTATCCCTATTCCTCCTAAATCCTGTTTCTGCCTCTAATATGTCTCTGACTAGACCTTCATGCCTAAGAAGGTGTCCTACCAACCTATCTCGCCTATTTTTTATTGNTTAGGCAGTAAACTTGACGGAATTTGAAGGCTAGCTTCCGGATTTGTTATTTCCGAATTGACATTAAAACACGCTCACCTTCAACGAAATTTCCTTTCCGAGGCTTTGTGTCAGCCCAATCACATATTGTGTCAATACCTATCATTTTATCGTAATTTAAAAACTTGGACATTGCACGGTACACTATAGGAACTACGATAAATTTTCCCTAATCGGCGCCATGTTTTTAGGCTCCTCCCATTTGACGGATCCCAATATTTAAAAGAATTAGAAATTAAGTGTTGTTGATACATTGATTCTTATTTTCGAATTTGCTGGGAGAGTATTATTGTTTTTTCTTCTTAGAAATTAAGAATAACTCAGTAGCTACGGGTGGTAAATTGTCTAAACGTTTCAGACAATGTAGTTTTAGTAAGTTTGTTTAAATGTTTAATTACACGAATAATTGTGTATTTAAAGCGCGATCGTATTGTTGTTCTTAAATAATTAATTACAGTATTATTAATAGGTCTACTGCGCTTAAACGATGATGTCGTAAATTTTTGTGAGGCGTTTAATTTAGTTTAATTCGTTTCTATAACCGATCTCCGATAAAATTAATTGTTCTAGGCGACTTTTTATTGCACCAGTGTAGGATAACGTTGGAGACTTTTTGCATCAAGAGCAACCATTTATTTGTTTAATACAGTGTTTCACAATTAAGCACAAAAACGGATGATACTTATCACTCAGAACAGACATTTTAACAGTTCAATAGTTACATTCTTGGTATTCACTTTCCTTTTGAATTTATCATTGAAACGTTTGCAAAATTGCGGATCGTTGTATGTATTCGATAGATGAATATTCTTGACAAAATTCTAGGACTATTTTACTTTTATCGGAAGTGTGAGAATCGAGTTATTATTAATTAAAAGGTAATATAACTTACCAATCATAGCGCGTCTTATTTTCTGCAAGTTCAGTCAGGCGCGGTTTATCTTACCTTATCTCTGTTCAAGAAGTAGCTGCACCAGTTTTAGGCAACTCGCACAAATGTTTTATTCTCTACATAATTGGCATTCACTTGAAAACTACAGTTTGAATCGAAAAAGTACAAAGGAATAAGTTATTCAGAATTATATAGGGATTCCAGCGATGTTTATAATATATATATAGCTTATTATAAATAATAAATTAATAAAGAGGGAAGTACTTAGAGATAGCTTTAAATAAAATGGAAGCGGTACTGACAGATCAGTGCTGTATGAAAATAAATAAAAGTAAAACTAAAATACTGGTATGCAAGGGTAAAGTAGGGAAAGAGCGAATATAAAGATAGGAGACGAAAAATTAGAAGAAGTGGCTGATTTTAGATACTTAGGAAGTCAGATAAGTCAGAATGGAAGGAGTAGTAGGGATATAAAGCAGAAGATAGTGCAGGGTCCTGTCGCCTTTAATAAAAAGAAGTCACTTCTATGCTCGCGAACGGTTAATTTAGAAATTCGAAAAAGGTTGTTAAAGGTGTATGTTTGGAGCACGGCATTGTACGGGTGTGAAACATGGACAGTGGGAGCGGCGGAAAAGAAAAGGTTAGAAGCGTTCGAAATGTGGTGTTATAGGCGGATGATGAGGATATCGTGGGTAGAAAAGGTTAGAAATGAAGAGGTATTGGAAAGAATAGGAGAACAGAGGACTCTATGGAAGTCAATAAGAAATAGGCGATATAGGTTAGTAGGACACTTTCTCAGGCATGAAGGTCTAGTCAGAGAGTTATTAGAGGCAGAAGGGATTATTATTAGGGAGTTAGGAGGGGTGGAGGCAGACCTAGGTTAGATTACCGTTCGCAAATAGTTCAGAATGTGGGCTGTTTTAGTTTTAGGAAAATGCGAAGTTTAGCTCAGGATAGGAAAGAGTCGAGGTACGTGTCCAACCAGTCTTAGGACTGACGATCTTATGTGATGATGATGAAAGAGGGAAGTAGAATTAAACGACGGAAGTTGGTATTGGTTAGACGCTTAAAATATACTTTTTTGTTTAGTAAATTGTTCTGCTACATTTTCAGCTATAGAGGACAGTAAGAAACATATAAGTGACAATTCAACGTCAGAAACAAGACCAGTACCATCCGGCGAGACAGAGGACGACCCATTTGGTGTTGAACCAAAAGAGCAAGACGGGACGGGGGATGAGAAAAAAGAAGGAACAATGGGAAATGCAACTGATAAAACGGTTTGTGTTGACTTCACAAAGTTACATGATCAACTGCGCGATTTTGAACTCAAGTACTACCGTTCGGTCGCCGCCAAGCCGTACTCGTGTTGCAACAGCAATCAGCATCTCCGGTTCATGGTTGATTTCTTCAAAAATTACAGAACAAACGAACGCAAAAGACCTGGTGACGTTGGACCAGACACGTTCTGTTTTCGTGAAGATGTTGTACCGATAATTAAGAAGTATCAGGCCGACAGGCGTGTAGAAACAGATAAAAGAAAAAAATGTCGAAAGTGTAACAACTACAATTACTTGAAAAAATTTACTAAATGGTATAAACAATTACGAAACAATGACGATAACGGACCAAGTGCCTCAGAAAAAGGACCATATGACGGTGTAAATGGAGCTACAACAAATGAAACAGACACTGCTCCGGTGGGGAATACACGAGGAAGATATGGTTTAAAGTATACGAAAAAGGGGTCACCAATGGCAACTGAAGAAAGAAAATTAGAAAATGGGGGGAACCATTACTACCGAAAACATTTGCCAACTGCTCATAAATACCAAAGGTATTTGTCAATTGTCGATAAAGATCCGATGTATTTACCATCTGCTCATAAAGATCAAGGTTGTTTACCAGTGGCCCATAAAGACCCAAGCGATTTACCAATAGTCGATAAATAACCAAGCTATTTACCAACTAGCGATGAAGACCCAAGGCATTTACTAACTGCCCATTAGTACACACAAGGTATTCGTCAAATGCCCATGAATACGCAAGATATATGCCGATTGCTCGTCATTAATAAAGATATATATATATTTGCCAAGTGGTCATCAATACCAAAAATATCCAAAAATAAACTTCATAAATATAAAAATACTGGTACAAATATAAGTATGTATGTGATGTTGTTCATTAAATAAATTAAATTTGGGGGTGATTTGTTTTGTTTTTCTTAGAAAAAATTGACATTGAACACTTGTGAAAGAGGCACAACAAAAGAAAAACCAAGTAGACGGAAAAATAGGTAGGGACTAGGCGTGTGTAATTTATTATGAAATTAATATTATTGGGTGTGTTCCGAAATATAAACCAGCATACTGACTGTACGAAAATAAATAAAAGTAAAACTAAAATACTGGTATGCAAGGGAAGAAAAAGTAGGGAAAGAGCGAATATAAAGATAGGAGATGAAAAATTAGAAGAAGTGGCTGATTTTAGATACTTAGGAAGTCAGATAAGTCAGAATGGAAGGAGTAGTAGGGATATAAAGCAGAGGATAGCACAGGGTCGTGTCGCCTTTAATAAAAAGAAGTCACTTCTATGCTCGCGAACGGTTAATTTAGAAATTCGAAAAAGGTTGTTAAAGGTGTATGTTTGGAGCACGGCATTGTACGGGTGTGAAACATGGACAGTGGGCGCGGCGGAAAAGAAAAGGTTAGAAGCGTTCGAAATGTGGTGTTATAGGCGGATGATGAGGATATCGTGGGTAGAAAAGGTTAGAAATGAAGAGGTATTGGAAAGAATAGGAGAACAGAGGAAGTCAATAAAAAATAGGCGAGATAGGTTGGTAGGACACCTTCTTAGGCATGAAGGTCTAGTCAGAGACATATTACAGGCAGAAACAGGAGTTACGAGGGGTAGAGGTAGACCTAGATTAGATTACTGTTCGCAAATAGTTAAGGATGTGGGCTGTTCTAGTTTTAGGGAAATGCGAAGTTTAGCTCAGGATAGGAAAGAGCGGAGGTACGTGTCCAACCAGTCTTAGGACTGACGACCTTATGATGATGATACTGACCAGTGCTGATGACGTAATCAATCGACGCCATACTGTTGATTCGTCCCGAAATATACTGGCCAGTGCGTTGACGTCAAATTGACGACATATTGATAATAGTGTTTGTGCTCGTTTACAACAATTTTGCTCCAAAAGTTATTTAAGTTTCTTGTAATAAAAGATTCCTCATAGTCTGGTGCACACACGCCCGTTTGATATACTACTGCATCGCATTTGTCTCACCAGTACAATATGATGGCACACCAGCACAATATGGCGTCGATTTATGACGTCATCAGCACTAGCCAGTATGTTGGGTTATATTTCGGAACACACCCATTATAATTAGCAACACTTACTTGATAAGTATATGGAGTGAATTTTATTGAGATTAACAGCTAAATAGTACGATAAACCTTTCAAATTATTTCTTCTGAGATCAAGTCTATGGAGGTAACCCAGTATAGGATGGAAGTAGTAACCCAGGTTTTCTATTGACGAATTGGAAATTTTTAATTCCTAAAATATATTTAACTATAATTTCTGTATGTGACAATGTATTAAATTACTATAAATATGAAACACTTTGACATGTAATTGGGGTTAACATCAAGTGTTAATGTGAAAATCATTTTTAATTTTCTTCCACTATAAACTACCTCAAATTAATGAGGGAAAAATTTGTTGTTTTTGTCACACCCTTGCCGGGAGTCGAACCCCGGACCTTTGACTTTGCGCACCAATCCTCTGACAACTGAGCTACAAGAGGTTACAATAGCAACAACGACTAACCGTACTTATTAGATCACAGATCTGTCGAACTAATGAAACCTTTGGTGCGTAAAGCCAAAGGTTCCGGGTTCGATTCTCGGCAAGGGTGTGACAACAGCAACTAATTTTTCCCTCATTAATTTGAGGTTAGAAAATACCACAAATGGCGCGGTAAATGCCATCTATAGTACAATGCTACATTTTAGGATTACGTATGCTCCAACAAGGTCCATTTAAATATATGGATATCTAATTGCTGAAACGAATCCCGGCGTAGCTAATCTCAACGTGATAGGCGCGTTACCATAATCGAATAAAATAATTTGAAGTGGTCTGTATTCTGTCGAAACTGGCAAAAGCGGATCGCGATTTCGATCTTGTTGGATCTCATCAGCGCGTCGCAGGCAGCTCCGACAGAACACAGACCAACTTTTACCTGTTGTCTTAACAGCGCGTTTTAGAAAATATCACAAATGGCGCGGCAACCGCCATCTGTAGTCCGATATCCATATATTTAAATGGACCTTGTTGGAGCGTACGTAATCCTAAAATGTAGCATCGTACTACAGATGGCGTTTACCGCGCCATTTGTGGTATTATCTAAAACGTGCTGTAAGACAGCAGCTAAAAGTTGGTCTGTGTTCTGTCGGAGCTGCCTGCGACGCGCTGATGAGATCCAAAAAGATCGAAATCGCGATCCGCGTCTGGCAGTTTCGACAGAATACAGACCACTTCGAATTATTTAATTTAATTTGAGGTTGTTTGTAGTGGGAGAAAATTAAAAATTAATTACACATTAGTATTGAATTATTTTGAGTTTTTTGAGAATGGACGAGTTACAGAAGTATATACAATGAAACTTTAATTATTTATTAGTCCTATGGGCTATATTTATCTTGGTACCTTTATCTTAAACTTGAAATGGTGCCGTAGTTTGGAGAAGTTTGACGCAACCTCATGCAAGGTGTTGAAACTCATATTGAACAGGTCTAGGCTGACAATTTCTTTGGTAAAATTAGAACTCCGAACTGAATCATTTGTTTTATTATCATAGGATATGACTTGTACACATGACAGTTTCTTTTCGTCATTGTCTAAAAAGCAACCTTTCTGATGCTGTGCTTGTGAAGACGAAACTGAGAAGGTTATCGTCGCAAAATTCCTACAATTATGGAAATAGAAGCTAATTATAAATAAGTATACCGTCGAACTCGATTATCACAAATATTAAGGAACTATGAATTAGATATTGCCTTCAAGGGGGACATCTTTTGATTGTAAATACGTGACTGATAAGAACCTCGGCCACGTCTACGTAAGAAATTTGAATTTGATGTCTGGATTTGTCGTCAACAAACACAAGGGAAAAATACAATGATAGGAGACGAAAAGTTAGAAGAAGTGGTTAATTTAAGGTATCTAGGAAGTCAGATAAGTCAGGACGGAAGGAGTAGTAGAGATATAAAGCAGAGGATAGCGCAGGGTCGAGTCGCCTTCAATAAAAAGAAATCGCTTCTATATTCGCCAACGGTTAATTTAGAAATTCGAAAAAGATTGTTAAAGGTGTATGTTTGGAACGCGGCGCTGTACGGGTGCGAAACATGGACAGTGGGCGCGGCGGAAAAGAAAAAGATAGAAGCTTTCCAAATGTTGTGTTACAGGCGAATGATGAGGATACCGTGGATAGAGAAGGTTAGAAATGAAGAGGAATTAGAAAGAATAGGAGAACAGAGGATTCTATGAAGGTCAATAAGAAATAGGTTAGTTTGACACCTTAGATATGAAGGTGTAGTCAGATACATATTAGTGGCAGAAACGGGAGTTAGGAGGGGTAGGAGTAGACCTAGATCGAACTAATGTATATGTATAGATTAATATAATATAAAATAATAATTTCGTTTACTAAACTTAGTTTGCTTTCGTTATAACCGAGTTCGACTGTACTTAAACAATTCATAAACAATGTTTGATTAAAAAAAAGTAACTGGTGGACTTACCACAACAATACGTAAACGATGACATTGAAGAAGTTCATCACAATCAACGGAAAGGAATCAGAAGAAAGTTTAAAACATGCTTTTTTCCTTTCTTTCCCTTTTGTTTTTCGCTACCTAACTAACTTTGATGAACTTTATTGTTACGGTCTTACGGTGCTTAAGTGAACACAATAACAATAAGTACCTACACGAAACAGGCCGGTGTGTCTAAAACTGTTTCGTTTATTATTAGCACCTCTTTTATCTTTTATCTAAAATAATGGCTTTTAATATTTACTCGTTAATGAGATAAACCGTACTGCTTTCCTGAAACAAAAAATAAATGTACATGACTGTGCACGGACTACACGACGTCGACAAGTGTGTTCGGCAAATGCACTAGCGAGTGATTTCATAAACAATATTAGATTTTAGAACTTTATTATCATATGAAAGAAACCCAGGGGAACATGGCACAGTTTTCGACGGGTAGGTTGTTCTATATTGTTCAATTTTGGGTGGCGCCTTTTTCATGCATCATTTACTGGAGTTATTGTCTGTTCACTTAGGGAAAGGTACAGCGTGAGCAATGCATACAAACGAAATATTGGTCGTAAGTGGGTCTCAGGAATATGGCCGATCGTTTACCGTCAGATGTTTCCGATCGAAGTCCAACCGTATGCATCTGGCGCCGTAGAAACTGCTTACAGTTATGCTCAATAAAGTACCAAGCACCTTTCTCTAAGCGAACGGACTCTATTATAAAATTAGTACAATTTTTTACTTTTTAACCTTTATCTAACTAAGGTCCTTTCGAACTTATGTAGAATCTTAAATATTTATAAATAAGTTGGATTGGTTTCTATTTTTCTAAAAGATAAGTATCACTCCGTTTGTATCGTCTTTTCCTAATCTTTCGATTCCAAGCAATCAAACAATAAATACTTTTATTCTAATGGCAGGGCCATTTTTGGTCCCCGATGGTGTCGAATGTTTCACTCTTTTAATAGTAAAACAGTTTTTCCGACTATTTGTGAATCCCAAAAGACATTATAAGGTTCAGGCTTAGTTACCGCAAATATTTTTTGGAAGTTTCTTTAAATTGTTTAACAATAGCTACTAACCGATTAAAATAATTGTAATATCTATTAAAGTAATCTAAAGATTTAATCGCCAGTGCAGTTATGGTAAATTTATCGACTAGTTGAAGAACAGGTTGCCAGAGAATTCGCCTTGATATACATAATTCCAAATAAGTATATAGTTGCATGTTAACAACGTATTGTGGAGGTTAAGGCGTAAACATGTGCCCTACTGACCTTTATATCAACTCTTCCTTAGCAAGGTACTCTTGAGATTCATGTGATAATTCTCCTTGAATGGTGCCAAAGAAATAAATTTAATTTATCAACAAGAGGGACCTTGTTCTCTTATCTCAAATATTTAGAAATGTGTAAAAAACATATATGAAATGAGCGGGTTTAACTAGTATATTACACTATCAAAAAGTCATTATAATTTGCTTACCTATTTCATTCTTTATGTATGACTTTTATTTAATTTTTTTCTTACAGTATTTACAGTTTATTTACTACCTGTTAAAATAAGGGTAGTTCGCTATATTGTTTGGAAGGGGGTGGTAAATTGAATCGGTATTTGTAGTCAAAGGATGAGGTATGATATAAGTCAAATGCTAAAAATATTATGCCTTTTATTGAAAACAACTTTTTTATTTAACTGTTGGTTTGATAGAAACACAAAAACAGCGTTTTATTGTAAAAAAAAACAATTGAATTTTTTTAAAATTAATAAATCAGCATCAGGACTAATTCGGCTTTAACTGACCGACTTCGAAAACACTTCCAGATTGGGCATACAAAGCCCTTAACGTTTCTTGGGCTAAATGTGTTTCACAGTGTGGTGGTACGGAAATCCTAAGAAAAAACATTGCTTTATTGTACAAATAATTAATAAATGCACATAAATTTGTCGAAATAATCGATCAAGCTTTGCTACTTGACACTATTCGTGTTTCAATGCGCCTACTTCTTGAACAGAAGTGCGAGCAACTTTTGAACTTGCAGCAAACAAACACCACTACGATTGTTGAATAATTCAATGGTTATGTATCGTATTGAAAATCTATGAAGGAAAATATG